CGCCGCCCACGACCCCCCTGGGTCGAGGCGCGACGCTTGCAGCTGCAAACCCTGAACCCTAAACCCTAAACCCTAAACCCCTAAACCCTGAACCCTAAACCCTAAACCCCAAACCCCTAAACCTTGAGCTTATGGCAAAGCAAGGGCCTCTTCCCTACAGGCCGCTCCATCATGTTCCCGAAAACCCCCTCTTCGGGTTTCCAAATGACCCTTCTTGAAACCCCTCTCCGTAAACACTAAAACCCTAAAACCCTAAAACCTGAAACCCTAAAATCCTAAACCTCCACAACCCTAAACTAAAACCCTAAAGTCCTAAACCTCCACAACCCTAAACTAAAACCCTAAGCCCCTAAACCCCTAAAACCCTAAAGTCCTAAAGCTCCACAACCCTAAAGAAGAGGGGTTGAAACTTGAAACTGCCACATGAAGTGATCGCCCTCTGAAGCTTCTTGAGCTTCATGCTTAGGCCCTTACTTTTGTAGGTTACCCTCCCCTAAGCAGTAGGGTTTGGGGTGTAGGGTTTAGGGTTTGGGGTTTAGGGGTTTGGGGGTTCGTGGGTTTAGGGTTTAGGGTTTGAGGCTTCGGGGGCTTAGGGTTTCAGGGTTTTTGATGCAGGTAGGGCTTACTTCTAAGCATCGGAACGCCCTTAGCTGCTGTGCAAGGGACCATCTTGTAGAAGGACCAAGGTGTTGTCAGACACTCTGCCGATGGTGATTCCTTTGTTCTCAAGCATGCGGATACAAGTCGGGTCAGTCCCCCTATAGTAGTTAGTAGCTCCTTAACATGGAATTAATAAGGACTGTACATATCTACAGTAGTCGTTTGTGGTACCCACTTCTGGGTGGGGGATTGACCCACCATCTAGAGCATAGCTGGAATGGGAATACAAAATGGTCGCAGCAATACACAAACAAATGACCCTAAACTCCAAACAGAGATAGTCAGACAGGCACAACAAATGCCGTGTGCCGCTTTCGTGGTGTTCGAGCACTCACATGTTTGGGGCTTTGGCCTGGCTCTACACACATACCCCATATAATATGCCCAAAACGCTTAGCCATAGAGACCCATGACCACTTGCCGCCGTAGCTTCCCGCAGCGGGCACAGTCACCTGCCCGGGGGTGCAAAACTTCTTCCGACATGAGGTCAAGACTACGAACTCATTTTTTGGGGTCCCCACAGCTAGAAAACAATACGTTGATGGTAGGGGATGGCCCTAACAGATGACACTCGCTTCCCATTTTTATAGGAGCTTCGGGCGGTGATCGTTCTGATTGTCTTGATTTCCAAGTATGACACCCACATTTAGTTTGCAACTCTGTATTGGAAGCTCCTGGAAACCAACCTCTATCAACATACCATCGGCTTACTACGGACCAAGGCAGTTCATACTCTTCTCAGATCCTCCCAAGGTTTATGGCTTCAAGATTGATGGTCTCATGCTCAATGTATGTCTAGCTACATATCATTCCTGAGCCAGCAGACCAAAACTCTGTACACCGCTGTGGTTGAGGATTTAGGGTGTAGGGTGTGATGGGCTGTGACAAATCGAATTGAACCGAATGATATCGAATGAATCATGGCCGGCTGTGTCACCCGGACTGTATCCCGCATGCTTAGACCCACATGAGCCATAGTCTAAACTCCTAGTATCCCCCATAATAACCCCTATGGTAGTCCAGAACCCCTTTTCAGGAGTTTAGACTATGGCTCACATGCACTGAAAAGGTCGGACTTGGTTTCTCCATAGGCGTGTCAGAGCTATTATTCAGGCGGTCGCAGCAAAACCAAGAGGCCAGAAGGCACCCGCGTGCCCTGTGGCTTCTGCATGTAATACGGAAGCACTCTCAGAAGCTTCATGACTCACATCTCCTTGAACGTGGCCTCACCACTTGCCCTTGCCGCCCCAGCTTCCTCCACCCTTGCTCCAGCTGTCCCCACCGCCCCAACTTGAGCCACCACCCTTGCCAAAGCTGCCAGCTCCATTGCCACCCCAGCTTGAGCCACCACCTCCTCCTTTGCCCCAGCTGTCCCCACCGCTCCAACTTGAGCCACCGCCCTTGCCCCAACCACTGTCACCTCCTTTGCCCCAGCTATCTCCGCCCTTGCTGTAGCCATTGCTGCTGCCACCGCCCTTGCCCCAGGAGCTGTCCCCGCCCTTGTTCCAGCTATCGCCGCCTTTTCCCCAACTATCGCCACCACCTTTGCTCCAGCTGCTACCGCCATCCTTGCCCCAGCTGTCACTTCCGCCCTTGCCGAAGCCTTTGTCGCCGCCACCACCACCACCCTTGCTCCAGCTGTCGCCACCCTTGCCAGCCATGCCCATCATGGCCGCCATCATCTGCATCATCTGAGGGGGCATTCCCTTCATGCCCTTGCCTTTGCCTTGGCTGCTTCCTAGCACTGTGTAAACACACGACCAAAATCAAGCACGGCAAGCAACCAGCAATCCCGGTCTGAGAGTTATGAAGTCCTAGGGGCAAAGGGGCCAAATGTTCGACTCATAATCCTACTCTACAGCACAGCATTCCGTAGTCTAACAACCTAACAGAACTGGACAACCCACCCCTTCAAGATGTGAAGGAGGACTCAACAACGCAAGCACCAAGCCGTTAACATTGCAGGAATAACTCGAACATTTGTTGATCCCCAGCTCTCAGATTTTCAGGTTGGAGCAAGCACCATGCCTTGAACTAATACTCTGGCGCGTCAAGCCATCTGGAGCTCTTTGATTTCAAGCTACCCTGGAAGAGACGCGGCAGTTCAGAACTATGAGGTACTTGCGGGCCTCACGCACCATGCACCCCTGTCTTGTCGCTTTTTGATTGCCATGCATGCTCTCCACAGTGTGGTTATTCCGATGCCCGGCTGCTCACCCTTATCCGTATGCATCATTATGATTCTGGCTCAAGCTCTGATTCAACATCTTCACGCAGGTAAGGCAAACAATGGTGGAAACACACGGAGCATGTTCACTATTCCAGCAGATCTTACCCTCAGCCGCCAGACCAAAACGGAAACTCAAATCCTCCAAGGCGCCATTTCTTTGCGCTCTTGGGGTTGCGAACGACACCGTCACTGGTTGGGACAAGCCTTTGCCCGGTGTGACAGGGATCGTTTGGGAACCCCCCCAGTACTGTAGAGGCCTAAATACCTACTAAACTAGTTTCGAAGTCCGTTTGACGTAACCTATACCGAAACTTTACACGGAAGCTGGGCTGGGACTATCACTCATGCTTCTCCACCACCAAAACTGTGAAGCTTGTGTTTATTACAATGTATCACACGACTACGATGTGCCCTAAATTTACAAATAAGGGTATGGAGGGGGTCCTGGTAAGGACCTTGTTTTCACAGATCGTGGGTAAAGGGGTTGCAGCGCTGCGTGAATCACAGTCGAGGGTCGATCGTCTAGAAGTTTGCAGGTCTCTTGGCTAGAGTTTTTGGAACTGCCTCCGGCCCCCTAAACCCTAAACCCTATGTCGATTAGCAGAGCTTTTCCAATGAGGACTCCCCCACTTCTAAGCTCAAATTTAGAATCATCATCTCATCATCCGTAAGGTTTGACTTGAGCCATAGTCTAAAATCCAAGTATCCCCCTTAATAAGCCCCAAAAGTACTTCCCTTTGTAGTACCCTATATCAACCCCTCAGAGGAGTTTAGACTATAGCTCACGTAAACCCCAAACCTTAAACCCCAAAACCCCAAAGCCTAAACCCTAAAACCTAACCGGGGGCATCGCAAGAAGGGGGGGGACTCCGAGGGGTCCTAGGGATGAGCATGCACGGGATTAGGGTTTGATAGGGTTTCGGGTTTAGGGTTTAGGGTTTTGGGGTCTCCTAAACAGCATCCTATAGAAGGATCCAGAAGCCCTGTGGGACATTGCCATTGACGTTTTCGACGATCCACTTGCCATCTTCTATGGTATTCCTTGGTTCTTCTTGCTCGGACTTCCCCAAAGTAACATGAAGCCCCCCCAAAGGCCTAGAAAATGATAGTGAGCTGCTCAAAAGTGGATGCATGGGGTTCGTTGTTAAGGGGAAAGGCCTAGAAGAGATAGTGAGCTGCTCAAAAGTGGGGATGCATGGGGTTCGTTGTTATGGTCACCAACCCCCAGTTTTTGCACCCTAGAGTTCAGGACCTACATCGTAGGTGCTGGGCCTACCAAAGCCCTAAACCCTAAACCCTAAACACGGCAATTTAATACCCCCAAACCCTAACGCCATATCCTTAAACGCCTTCAACCTTGAATCCAACCGTAGGCCAGCTCTAGACTCCCATTTCGGAAGCGGCTAAGCATACACATATGGGGGGTTCCCCCCTTTAAAGGGTTCTATAGGCGTTCTATAGGGATATTTAAGGTCCAGTCAGGTTTAGGGTTTAAGGTTTTCCAAAAGTAGATCCCTTTAACGGGGTTTATAGGGATTCTATAGGGATGGTATTGGGGTATTTTGGGTTTAGGGGCTTCCCAACACTAGGGGTACTTTTTGGTGATCCCTATAATGAGGATTGTAATGCTTTAGGGTCTACATCGGGGTCCCCCTGGTTAGGGAAACTACCGAATGCCTTCAGATTTCAACGTTTTGGCCTGAGCAATACTGGCACTGGGATCCCGCATCCCAGCATCAGGGTACCGCCGCACGTTTGACATAATGACCGAATGCAGCCATAATGAAGTGCTGCACTAAGTAGAATAGAGAGGCTTGGGGGAGAGACCAAGCCACAGTTCTATGAGGGTTATAACATGGGAATGACACGGGTCGTTCTTCATTCACGTTGTACTCTGAATCACAACCCGAATCGCACCTGAGCTTAATTGAGCCCCATTTCTGGCATGGAGCAGCCACCCCTAGTAAGGTCATGTGCTTCTTCCTGCCCTGTTCATGTCGCCCTTCATCGTGATTTCTTTGCGCAGTTGATAGAAAACTTCAACGACATCTGCAGCAAGAACAACACCCGGAACCCAGGCATTCGTGTGCAGTGATCTCAGTATTCAGCCTTTGCCCAATCCAAGACGCTTTCAAGCCGACAGTCAATGTGAGAAAGAAGACATACAGACAGCGGCAAAGGCACTCCCTGCCAGACATCCCATGTTCCCAGATTCGCGAACCTTCAACGCCGCATGCAGAAGCATCTGATGGGTGATGTCATCCCGAAATTGAGTTCATGAGCCCACTAGCACCCCCCAACATGCACGCATTTCCCCTAAACCCTAAACCCTGAACCCACCCAAAATGCTTCGTACACAGGACCTTGTCTGGATGCCATGTCTCAACTCCATGTACTGAGGCCAAAACTATATGGTAGGCGGAGGGCCTAAGTTAACAGATATTCGAAAGGGTTTAAGATTTAGGGCTGAAAGGACTCTCTAAGCCCATAGAACTAAACCCCATTCCGTACTTAGACCTTCCATTGTAGCACCTGCTTGGGTGTCCCAACACAAGATTCCGAACCCAAAACCCCATATTAACCTTGAGCCGAACAGGAACCATATGCAGGGCCAAATAAGCCCCAACACGTGCAGTCTAGGGTTCAAGAATTTTCCCGGATAATAATGGACATGGGTTCCTTACCAAGGCACATATCAGGGACTATACTTTGGGTACTGCCCCCACCCAGTATCAGTCTATATTAGGGGTCCTATTAAGGGCTATATATAGCCATATTATATGTATTATCCAGCTGTTAGTGAGGGGGGGCAGTACCCAAACCAAAAACTACACTACAGGACGGACCCTTGAACCCAACACTCTAAACCCCTAAAGCCTAAACCCATCTGCAATCTAGGGCTCATATCCACAAAAGCCGCCTTAGCGGTTTTTCCGGAAGTCACGGGGAGAACCTTCACCTGAGGTAAGGATTTAGGGCTTATAGGGCTTAAGCTTCTCTGGGCAGGATTTTGGGGGCGAAGGCTTAGAGCTTGGGGCTTCGGATTTAAGTTAAGCTATTTGAGGAATAAAATCGTACTCTGAATACTGGAGGACTATCGTATCCCCCAAACAAATACTCATGTCAAAGGTTGTGAAAGTTATGGCCTTTTCCTGGGTGGGAGCTAGAAACGGGGTCACAACTTTGCCAACCTCCCGTGGGGCTTCTCAAAGCAGGGTCTACGGAGGGCTAAAACAATTTAGAGTTAGGGGTTTAGGGTTTAGGGTTCAGGGTTTAGGTTGGGTTTGTAGACCTAAAGGGTCCAAGTACCCAAGTCGTGGGATTTCAGATACCAAAAACATTCAGATCCGAGTTTATAGGGCCTGAAACAACATTAAATGGGTACGCGGACCCTCAGAAAACATGAGTTAGGGTCAAGTGCTTTGGATCCCTAAACCCTAAACCTTAAACCCTAAACCCGAAAGGTTTAGGGTTTAGGGCTTAGGGCTCGAGCTCGCTTTCTGGGTTTAGGGGCCCTAACATGACAAGGAAATAACGAGACGCGGTTTAGGGTTTACTGCTTAGGGTTTGGGGTGTCTAGGGTTTAGGGTTTACAGTCCCCCTTCAGTAGATAGAATATGGGGTTACGTATTGGGATAATGGAAAAGAAAATGGAAACTACTATTTAGGGTTTGGGGTCTAGGATTTAGGATATAGTCCCCCTTCAGTAGATAGAATATGGGGTATGTGGGGATCTTATTATAATATACCCACAGCCATATTCTATCTGATTTAGGGGGACTATAGGATTTGGGGCTTCTTCTTTGGATTGCCAAGGAATCAGACTCAGAAATTCTCATGTTTGGGTTGCCGTTACGACAGCATACACCGCTTAGGAATAAGAGCCATATGATGCAACCACAGCCGTGAGCGAGACTTGCCATATCCTATACAGTAGAATTAGATTAGTTACTTTTCTGATGTTGAGAGGACTAGGTTATCTAAGAAGGGGATGGAAAGCAACACAAAACCTTCTACAACCCCTAAAACCCCTTCAAAGGGGGCGGTAAGTTAGCAGACAGTGAGCCGTGCAGGATTCTACAATACATTACCAGATTGTTGGTGGTGGACTTTGGTTTTTTGTTTAGGGGTTTAGGGTCTACAGCTTAGGGGCATCTAGCCGCCTAGATATTGCCCTAAATAAAGGAGAACCACAGGGAAAATAACATGGAGCATGACACGGGCACCGAGTTTCTATAGGGGGTTCGGTAGGTTAAAAGTGCCAATAGTATGACCCTAGACTCCTTCGATGGTTATAGTACAGTGTACCTCAAACGCACCTCAAAACGACATCAGTAGTTGTTTCTAGGCTTCTACATCAGACGTGCCCCACACCCGAAACCCCAAACCCTGAGCCAAAGAAGCGGCGCGAGAAGCCAGCGATTTTCTGGGTTGCTGCTAAGGAACTTAGATCAAGTTACCACATTCTGGGTATATTAGCAAGTAATAGGTTTTCC